AATATCCAAATCGTTGAGCCTGCTAAAAAAAATTGGGAATTTCTTCAATTGGTGTTGTTTTACACTCACTGGGAAAGTTTTATATTCCTTATTGTTATAAATAAAGATGCTAATTTATCTAATTTACGAGCAGTGACGTATTTAGGGGAGGGGACGGGGGGCAATTGCCCCGGGGTGCCAAATTCTGAGTCCTCAAAGGGGCGCCGTCGCTAGAGGTTATAACAAAATTATTTTTTTATTTTATCTGATTTGTTGAGAAATTATATTAGTGATAACTGATAAGTGAATACCTGTATCTTTCTTATAATATCTTTAACATTTCTATACATATTTCTATATAATATATAATTATATATATGTATAATGTATTTTATTAAAATGTCGTAAAAAAAGGCTAAAAGGCTGAAATCTAAATTATAATTTGTTTATTTTATTATAATGGTTGACTTTTTATTAGGAATAAATGGAGTGTTAATGGTAAAATAAAAGTGTTCTCTAAATTAGTGGAAGCATAAATGCAATAAGGGAAAAATATACATTTTGGGTTATCAATTATCACTTTTACATAATGGCTTGAAACCGATTGAAAAAATGTCTGTTTTGGTTTCGATTATTGTATACTGGTTTCCAATTTTTTTCAGTTTCGGTTTTGGATTTAATACCGATTTCCAATTTTTTCCGATTTTGTTTTTGATTTTGTCATCGGTTTCAGTTTTTAAACGGTTTATACCGGTTTCAAGACCAGGACTATTTATGTTCATTCTTAGTTTATTCATTTTTTTGAATCGCTGGATCGTCTGTGTAAAGTAAACTTTCAAAAATGTTAAGATACCTACAAAGATTTTCTAAAAAAAATACCGTTTTTTTATATTATATTATAGGTTTTTAATTATAATACAGATAGGTATCCAATTTTTTTCGAGTCTGTATTGACTTTAATACCAGTTTCCAATTTTTTTCGGTTTTGGTTTTGATTTTGTTCTCGGTTTCAGTTTTATAACGGTTTATACCGGTTTTAAGCCCTGCACTATTAAAGTATTAACTGAGAGAAAAAGTAAATTTTTTAAATTAGAGGGGGTTTAAAAGTTTTTTGTGGCAATGAATAAAAGGAAACTGAGAAAAAAAGGGGCACCAAAATGTGTGTACCTAGGGCGCCAAAATCGTAAATACGCCACTGCTTACGAGATTTCACTATATTGCCATAATTTGTAGTGCCAGTATTGAAGTTGAAACTTGGAATATATGGCAAATCGCAGTTATTATTCTCACTAAAATTGTTTATGAACATAAGTATATAGGAACTAGGTATTTTTATTTTATTTTTGTAAATACCAAGACTATTTTTTTTAAACTCACAAATTTTTACTATCTTCAATTATATATATAATGTACTGCAGGTGTTAAAGTTGAAGTAGAAGGCGAATTGCAGTTATTATTCTCTCAGCTCTCTACAATTATTTATGAACATAAAATATATACCCACACAATTCCATCAGTAATTTCATTTGGTACATTATATTCAATTTATATGTACCACTGCCTGGTTGTGGCTCAGACTGTCTACATTGAATGATTTCTGTTATAAATGGTTTTTTGAGTGTTTCTTTTTTTCGTGATACCCAAATAGTTCGATATTTCAAGTAATTCGACTTATTAAAATGGCCTACATCAAAACTACCTATAATAAAAGTTATAGAGAAGAACTTTTTTAACAATCTTAAGAAGCCCAATTTTTTATATTTTTATTAATTAGTTAAATAATTAATCTATAAACAGTTAAAAACCGTGTTCATTTACCATGTGATATTGGACAATTAGAATACGATATCAAATATCGGATTCTATACGATTGTTAAAAAAGTTCTCCTCTACAATTTTTTTAATAGGTATTTTTATTGTAAACCGCTTCAATAAGCCGTATTACACTATTACTTGAAGAACAAAAGTATAGTTTTTATTTCATTATTTGTATAAAATTCGGATACGAATACAAAATATAAAATCGAACCAAATTAAATAATATTTGTGACAAATATAATAATTATTTTTTTATCTGGTTATTTATAAGCTATACACGGGCGCTCGGCTGCGATAGAAAACCTGTTTTGACCATGGAGCGGTACTGCCGTTGACAAGCGTAAATTTCTGCAGTTTTCTTATAAAACATACTTTGCGCGTTCCAATAATATGGGTGGGTTACTGAGTGGTTTAATTGTAAAAACACCTATAAACAAAATTGTAGAGGAGATTTTTATCTAGTTCCGTAAGAAGCCCGATTTTTGATATCTTTAAAACATCACGAAATATACAATGATTAATAATACACTTTTTTTTAATTTTTCAAAAGTTAATTTTAGGACTTAGAAATGAAAATTTCAAAAGTCGTGCTTTTTACGGAACCAGATAAAAATCTCTACAATTTTGTTCATAGGTGTTTTTATGATAAAACCACTCAGTAACCCATGTTATTGGAACGCGCAAACATGATTTTAAAGGAATTTTTCAAGTGATTTCTTTCCGTTACACGTCCTCTCAAGAATCAAAATATTTTAAATTTTTTAAATTTTTTATAATGATAAGTGTCCTTATAATGATAAAAACTCATTTTTTCACACAGATATAAAATATAGTATTTTATATCTGTGTTTTTTCAAATAAAAATTAACCTTATTTGCTGTCAATTGTTAAGCATAGGTAGTATTATGATTTTTTTCGAAAACGTTGATGTACTGATGTATCTAATTCAAACTTCAAACGAGCAGTTTCTTAATTATTCAATTACTAAGGATAAAAACCCTTAAAATTGGTTTTACAAAAATATAAAATATAAGTAATACCTATAAGATCTAGTAGTATTTTATTATACTAGTACAGTAGTACAATTTCTTACAAATCATAAAATGTTAACTACCAATACTATAGGATATTTAAAATATCGGTTAGCATATTATAGGTGAAGTACACCGACACAACGTGGTAAAAATTGTGCATGATACAATAATATATCGCAGCAATGTGCAATTATATGTATAGGATTTAAAACAGTAGGTACTGAATAAATATTATCAAATCATGCATACCGTGTACGGTATGTCGGTATAGGTACCTGCACTCAGTAAATAACACTATTGTTCCGGTTTAAGGTAAAATTATATTATGAATTGTGGTATATGGATTATAAAAACTTATATTATATGATAAATATACATAACTAATTATATCTAGGACAAGTCTATAAGCGTAGAGTGTACTAGTTAGTAGTTACTAATTATTATATATTTTACTGCTATAGTAAATAATATAATATGATAGTGGTTATAATTAAATTTTACAAGTAACCTATGCAGTGGGTATAATTATAAATTAGTTCTGGAGTGGGATTTAAGTTTTAATAATCATAGGCTATGCACCTCACATACCCCTTGATGGATTGATGGTGTGCTGCTGATAAAAGTCTAGCCCCCAAAAAAATTGATTCTAGTTGCACCTATGCCCCCTAGAATATATTTTCTACATAACACGGCAATACTATATTACGTAAAGGCATGTGTACATATCAATATATCGTTCTGCGTTTCGATCTATCTTTGTTTTCTTATCCTTGTGACCTTGTTGGATACTGAATTGTTCTTGTTCAAAACCTAAAGGGCCCCTTTTGTAACTAAAAAACGTGGAGGGGTATTGGAAATTTAAGATTTGTACAGTAATCAAGTGATTAATACTATAATATTTAAGTTATGCATCAAAATAAAAATAGCTGGTTAAAAAAAAATATATTTATACAATAATATTTTCAAATTTCAATGAAATAAAAATTATTTGATTAACAAAACATAAAATATTATAATATTTAATATCAAATTAATTCATATTATGTAAAATCAATAAAATATAAAATGCAAACAATAATCTTAAATTAAAATATGATTAAAAAATTAATAATTCAGTATTTTATGTTGTGTTTATAATATAATTAGCTAAACACAAATAATTTTCAAAAAATAAAAATATTAAGTGAAAATTACAGTTGAAAAATATTCTTTTACATATAATAATATAGGTATGATATTTACATTATAGATTAACTAATGTTACTGGTACGGCATCATTCATAAAAAAAAATATTTTGAAAACAAAATGAATATAAATTTAACTTAACTATATGTATATTATTTAACTATTTTAATTGATATAAGTGTAATGAATCATTTGCGCCGTGCGGTCCTGTTAAGACCGCAGAATTAATATTATTAATGAACAAAATATCGCAACATTTTTCATAGAATGACAATGATTCAAACTCAGCACCACCTGGCAAGAGTTTAAGTACACCACCCATTTGGAAACTACTACAACATGAACACATAATGAAAACTGATACATTTAAGTATACATTTATCATACAATTAATTAAGAAACATAGATATAACATTGAAGTTGTATGTTAATCATTAGGTTAGTATTTAAAAAAATACAATATTTTTATTTATTTAAAATTTAAATCTTATGCTTTAAAAATATAATATAAATATTATATTATAATAACATTTAGGTATATAACTATTAAACTTTATAAGTTAACATGTTTGAAATAACAATAATATATAAGACTTTTTTTAAACAAAACTAAACTTGCTCATTTGCTCATGTACCCTCAAATCTTTTTATTGTAATTATTGTTTTTATTTTGGTGTGGTATCAATTAACAATATTAACATACACATTTCAACAAAAAATATATGTATGTACTAAGTACTTACAATTATTGGTTTTTATAAAATTGTATAAAGTAAAAATAATTCATGTTAGCAGTTTTGAAAGTAATAAAATAATAAAAACAAAAGAGTGAAGTAGATTCCCCTTTAAAGGGTTTTATTTTCATAACTTAGTGTATACTATGAGATGACGCAGCTGGTCATTTCTACCACACCATATTGTTTAGTACTTATAATAAAAGTTTTAAATGTACCTACTATGTTTTTTTTATTGAGAACCTATAATTACTCCCATTCTTTTGCAAGTTCAGATTTAAAAAAAATGTCCAATTGTTTTTTGTGCTGATACAGTTTTGAGAATGCTATACATAGATTTCCTATTTTCTTATGACCTGACCACAGCTTCCCTAACCAACGCAATTTTCGAGCATATCCGTCAGAAATTTCGAATTCTTTTTTTAAAATATCTGAATAAGATTCACTTCCTTCGTCATTTTGAATTTTTATTTGGTATGCATCAAAGAATTTATTTAAAATACACCCATATAAACACGAATCATGTAATATATTATTTTCAAACATTTTATACAAGTCTTTATAATCCTTTAGAAATTTTAATAAATCTTCATAAGAATATTCATTAAGCATATAAGCCTTTGGCATATTTATATCGGTATTACTACCATCTCTCAAAAATGTTTTTAAATAATTATTTAGCTCCTTGCCTACTAGTTTAGTGTTTTTCTTACTTGAAATGTTGAATACTTTTTTTAAATATTTTTTATGAATTTTTGGAATCTCCATGGGGTCTTTTACATTTGGAAGTTTTGAAATTTTATCTTTTTCTTCTGACAAATCTTTTCGTATAATTTCATAATTTTTTTTACTATGTAATGCATTAGTTAAAATATTTTTCACTTTTTCTATTTGTGTAAGAGCTTCTGATAACTCTTCTTTCCTCGGTCTTGCCTTGGACGACAATGTCTCATTCAAAAATTCTTCTTGATCTGAACTTTCTGAACTTGTTGACATAGTTGTTGAAATTCTTATAATATCTATAATAAATTATAAGTTCACTATATATACTACATAGTGAACTTTAAATACTAGAAACACTTGGTACAATATGGTACAATAAAACTAATTAGTAATTACTATTTAAATGTTCCAGTAGTCTAACCATTATTCTAACCATGGCTTAAGATAAGACCCAACTGTCTCCATCCCACTTGTTACATATTAAGTAATAACTTATTACGTCTTATTACTAATAAGTATTTGTATTTTGTATTAGTCCGACGTGTTCGTAACCTGTTTATCAGTTCAGTTATCTTAATCGGGATGGGGACAGTTGGGTCCCCGAGATAAGAGTTAGGTCCCTTGATAATTCTCCAGAGTATCCTTATGTCGGGATGTTCTTCTTTTTTTATTATTTATGGCAGCACTGCTTATTTAATTAGATCCATAGACATATTAATAAAAATATTAAAAAATATTAAATATTAAATATTTATTAATATGTCTATGATTATTAGATCACAGAATAATAATTATATGGCCATAAAATATTAAATTAGTATTTAGTAGGTAATAGGTATCAGTGTATCACCATTATAATTTAAAAGTATTATATTTAATCGTGGTAGGTATATAAGGTAAGGTTAGGCTTACTAGCCACTAGGTTATAGAAATTATAAATCTGCGTAATGCATATTAATTTGATTAAGTTTGAATTTACTGTTGCAGGCTGCAGTAGAAACATATTTTATACATAAACATAATACATTTATACGTATATCAAGCCACAATTATATATTTATATGTCAGAGTCAGACATAGAAAGCAATAAATTATATTCATGATTATAATCACTTACATTTACTTAGATATAAGTGATTTATAGTATTTGATAGTGGTAATCGGTCAAAAAGTCCGGTATGAAAAAGTTGGACAATCAGTCCGGATTCATTTTTTGATTGCCGGATAAAAAGTCCGAGTACATTTTTACTTTGCCTAAGAAATGATTGTCGATGTCAATACAATAACAATACATTTAATAAAAAGTTTTAGGTAGGTACTATCCAAGAATCATATCTTGGGGAAACGTAATGTATATCAAATTATTATTGTTATTATAACAAATTATTATTGTAGACTAGATTTTTTAATACGTAGGTAGTATAGTTGTATTGTGGTTGTATAGTGGTATCAGTAGCGTATCTAGGATTTTTTACGCGTGTTTATATTAATCTTTTAAATTGGGCAAAATATGACTTATAAAAAATAAATGGGTGGTGCGGCTAAAAATATAAAATTAGCTCTAAACTGCTCAAGAGACAAGAATAGAAAATAATTTCTGGTATGTTTAATAAACAGACACAACCTAAGGTGATAAGCAAGCAATAAAAAAAAAAAATATATTATAATTTAAGATAATATTAATTAGTAAATATATCGTATACCTATATAAGAATAATAGAGTATGGGCTATAAGTAAACTGTTCAATCTTGTTTAATACCATAGATATGTATATAATATGTCTTATACATAGACTGACATACCGTCTCCGCTCAGAATCGTTTTTCTTATACAATGATATTATATCGTTGAATTCAAATTTAATATCATCCATTATACAGTGACCCACTTGTAACCTACTGTACAGCAGAACGACACCCACTTGCCCACCTTTTTAAATATAGATTTTTTTAATAAGATAATTATATTTTATTTGGTTTTGTTTTATTCAATCAAGATTTTTTTCTTAAAACAGATTTCTTATTCAATATAATTTTAGATTCTGAGCGGAGCGAGGAAGCTAATGGTTTTACAATGATGTTTATTGATTGGACAATTTCTTAAAAGCTATATTTTCTGAAAACCCTTCAAATATATTAACATTTTATAAATCCTGTGTGGGAAAATTATTAAAATTAAAAAATGTATGAATTTTAAACAACAAAATAATTTGCTAGTTTTAATCTCAATGTTTATAAATAAATGTAAAAAATACATATTATTTTAACTTTGCGTATTTTTTTTATTGTTATAATTACTTATAAGGAACCTTGTATTTAATTTCAAAAATGTTTAACTAACTAACAACTAGGTAATCGTATACAAATTTTGAAATTTCAAATATTTATAAATATATAGGTAGTACTACAAAAGATCCAAAATATTAATCGAAATTTGAGCTACAAATATTTGTAAAAAAAAGCATTCGTATCTTTTAAGTTTTTAAAATAACAACTATGATAATAATTCAGTTCATTTTTTAAAAAAAATGTTTACCCAGTGAAAAAAAGATATCAACATTAATTCAAGGCAAAATTCAATGTTTTCAAATATATATACATTGCTAAAAATTTCAAAAATTTTTATTTTAGAAACACATTGTAAAACTAATACATTCATCTCTTCGCTCAAAATATAAAATTAATATATTAGTATTATAATCATCATTAATTAATTTTGAAGGATAGGCAAAACATGGATAAACAAAATGGGGATACAAAGTTTATACTTTTAGTATACAGGGTGATATTTTTATCATTGAACACTCATTATTTCAAAAAGTATTAATGTTTAAGAAAATATTTTTTTACATAGTTTCAAGTTGTTAAAAAAACAATATTTTTATTAAACAATTATATTTTTAAATATTTTTTATCCTTTTAATTTTTTAAGTTTTTTACTTTTTTGAATGACAACATGTAATTTTAATTTGATATTCAAAAACAGAATATTTTTCTGAGTATTTCGATACATAAAAATTGAATTTAGGGCAATTAGTTTATGAGTTATAAGTATTTAAAGTTTAGATGAGCGGAGTAGTGGACAAACATTTCGCGGGGTAACCCCGTACCACTCTACTCCGCTCATCAAAACTTTAAATACTTATAACTCATAAACTAATTGCCCTAAATTCAATTTTATGTATCGAAATACTCAGAAAAATATTCTGTTTTTGAATATCAAATTAAAATTACATGTTGTCATTCAAAAAAGTAAAAAACTTAAAAAATTAAAAGGATAAAAAATATTTAAAAATATAATTTTTTAATAAAAATATTGTTTTTTAACAACTTGAAAGTATGCAAAAAAAATATTTTCTTAAACATTAATACTTTTTGAAATAATGAGTGTTCAATGATAAAAGAATCACCCTGTATAGACTTTAGTTTATATTATATTTTATACTATGCATATTTAGAATCAAATTTCTATTTTTACCAGTTCTCATAAGACGGTAGCTCTACTTAGGTTTCTGAGAGTAGCTTCCTTTTCTCGGTAAGTTTCACTCGAAATGTTTTTATCTATAATCGAAATGATTGCTTTTTCCTTAGCAGGTCCAATTAAACGACGTTTTTTGTTAGACTGATGCAATGCATCGAAGTTACCAACATATGTACACTCCATTAACACCCTGATAACAATTAAAATCATAATGAACAATAAAAAAAACTATGAAAGATCATAATATCGTTACATTTCTCATATTAAAAATAGTTGGAAGTATAATTAATAATGTGTTGGAATTAATAAAATACCTTGCATTATTCAACGGTTGTTCACTAATTATCCCTTTAAAATGTGATCTACATATTGAACACCGAGCAATAACAGTCACAAAATTTGATCCTTGGGGATGAACATTGGCTTTTTTAAATGATAGGCAGCATGGTAATTGGGTATGTATCCAAAAATGTTCTGCTAAAATAGGACTCCATTGATTTTTTGTTAGTGTGTAGTAGGTTTTACAAGTTTTTAAAGGCCGATTTTTATCATTTAGTCTGTAGAGTACTTCTTGCGGTTTTATTTGGTTCCATTCATCAACGGAAAATGTAAACACAAAACTTTTTGTTGGAAAATCTTCATCACTACTACAATTGGTATCAGAGCTACCTTTAAAAAGTGTTAATATTGTTTATTATTACCTATATAATGTATATAATAGGTATACTATAATTTATAAAATATGAAAATAAAACTTGGTACATAAGGTATATCCACAATATTAATGGTTACTAAATCCACACGTACCTATATAATATGGAATATAATTACTATATAACAGTAACATAAAATATTATTTTTTGCTTACTATTTTCAATGAGTAAGTCATTGTTTACTGGAATTGATTTAATTGTAGTACTAGGAAATCCAAGTTTTACTTTTATATTGCTTCGTCCTTTGTATACAAAAGTGTGAATGGCAGTTTTCGTCATTTTTCCATCCAAATGAATGCTTAAATCTGTCCACACTGAATCAGTGGCTACAACTATTTCTGAAAACAGCGGGTTTTAGAAAATTTTCTAAAAATATAGAAGAACCAAAAATTTAAAATTTATACTATTCTATTCAAACAAACATTTTAAAGATATAAAATACCTGTTTATTAATTTAAATAAAGTACCTACATAATATTTGTATTGTAATATTACTTAAGTTTGTTATTTCGTGCCAATAAATAGTATTTTACAAGTTATACATTTATATTTTCCTTATTTTAAATAAAAATTAGAAATATTTTATTTTTTTGTTTACTGACTGCATTTGAATTTAAATATCCATGCAGTCTTGAATGGTATATGTTTAACTGATATGTACAGCAGAGTATAAGAATAGTTGCTCTTTTTCTAACTGTTATTTCAACAGCCTAAGGTATGGAAAAGCTTTTTACAAAATTCATTAAATGTGTAAGTCAAAATACATAGGTATCATTTTGTAAGCAAAAAATAAAAATTATATAATATTCAAATTTTTTAGCTGCTAATTTTGTGTTTAAAAAACGTAAAATTAATATTATAAAAACCTTCTCACATTATTGTTATAATGTTAAAATGAGAACATAAAAACAATTTAAAAATTATTATTTTGGAATATTATAATGATATAATTCTTAAATTGTTTTTATAATATTCTTCTACAAATATTATAATAATGATGGTGTTGTGGCCAAAAAATATTACTTTAATATTATTATCACACTTTTATACTCAATTTATAATGAATTAATATTGATTAA